TAACATTTTTAGTTTATACAACTTGAAGTAAGATCAATTGGAGTTTTATGATCTTCCATTTTCTTCTCTATTTTGTTTTCCCAACCCACTCAAGAAAATAGGTCATGACTTGTACTTCACAACCGAAAGGTCGATCCTGGTCAATATTTACGTTCTTAACTTGGCTCAAATCATTGAATGATGTCGAGTATTCAAGCAGTTGTTTTGTGCAAATAGCACGCTAAATGTCAAGTGTGAAAAAGTTTCATTTGTTTGGTTACATTTCCTTTCCCTTTGATTCTTGTTTACCTTGCAAATACTTGAAAAGTAGCTTTATGTAATAACAGTACTTACTACTGATTAGTAACCAAGTTGTTACAAAGTTTAACATGGTTACGAACATACCATTGTGACAATTTCTTAGGTCTTCAAAAGCTTTTTCAAATTTGCACATCATCATGTGCAAATGTTCTTTCTCCTACTGTTTAAGCCCCAGATTCAATTTTTTTTTCTCCTTCTGTTTCATAGAATGGTAAAACAAAATTAAAAAGGAAATAAAACAGGCATACACCTAAATCTCCCATTGATTTCTTCATTTTTATTCAGTTGATAACATTTTTCCACGAAAAGTTGAGCTCTGTTCACTTTCAATAACTGAGTCATATCAAAATAATAAGACTTCTATTTCTTACATCATACAATGTTTATTTGGATCCACAATTCGTTTTCTTGTACGGTATACACCTGTAAAATGCATTTTGTAAAAGCTCAGTTACCAAAAATTCATAAGTTTTGTAATATTAACTTGCCATGTTTTCAGCACAATTTTGAACTTTTATCTTTTTCACACAAGTTTGAAGATTTGAATTTTCTCTTTGATATCCCTTTTTGATACTGCAGTTCTCTTGTTGAAATCAACTAATTTGATCTGTGCAAATTGCAGTCTTTTTTTCTTGGTAATGTTCTACGATTAAATGAAAAGATGAGAGTGACTTATATTTTGTTCTCTCTTTTTCATACTTACCACATTTCTGCATTTTCTTTTTTCTTTTCCTTGAATTTTCCTGCATCACATATCTTGAAAAATGAAGTGCTTTCTCTGCGATCCTTTTCTTCCCATCTTCTGGGAACTTCTCTTTTGTATATTTTTAATAAATACAGTTGTTGATATTTCTTTGTCGGTACACACTTAGGCTCCTTGCTTTACTTTATAGACATGTAAGTGGTTCTGATCAAGGGCATAGCAAATAACAAGTAGGCTGCTATATCTTGTGATCTTCGTAAAGGTAAACAAGAAGGTTGGGTTCCGATAAAGGTTTTTTAAAAAAAAAGAATATATCGGCTCGCTTTTTTCATTTCAGGCCCAAATGAATCAATATCACAATTTATAGCACTAGCAATGTCTCCTCATGAAAAGAATTGCTTTTCAAATGCTCTCAAATTTTAAGACAGAACTAGAAAGAATTATTTTTTAAAAAAGGTTGGAAAAAGTTTTCTGATAGCATACATTTGCATTATCCTATTCGTTAATATCACATCCAGTGCTTTACTTTGTTTGTGATTTTTTTCTTCATTTAAGTCATATTCCCCAAATTGTCATATTGTCAAAGTGCACTTTGACAATTTTAAATTTTGTAATGCACATTTGTTCCTATTTACTAAATATATCAACCATTCAGAAAACTTCTAGATACTTTCTTTCACAATAAATTGACACAAACAACACTCCATATTAGCTTTGACCCCTGATATATATATAGTACATGTAGCTTCATCCCATGATTTGTCTGTTTGTTAACTCATATACAGTACACTGAGTTAACAACCAACCGACTCTGAAAATTGGTAGATCCATAATGTAAACAGTAGTCCAGATTGTCACAAAATACATGTACCAGGGTTCCCACTGAAATTTAAGAACCATACTCCACGACTTTCCATGACTCTCAATTTTGCCTTTTTTCCATGACTAGATACTGTAAGTACCTTTTTGGTATGGGTTGCAGCACCCAAGCGGCATACAAGTACCACAAAGTGGTTCATGTTTGTGATGGCCTCTGCCTTCTCTCACAATGTCCATGACTTTGGGAGATTTTTGTTCCTTCATTTTCCAAAACTTTCCATGACTTTTTCAGAATTTATTTGTCCATGACTTTCTAGGTTTATTCCATGACCGTGGAAACCATTTGTACATATACACATGTTCATGTATATATTATGGAGGGGACCAGAATCCATATCTGCTCAGTTTGTATCTCTTTAACAACACAATTATCAATAGAGATACATGTATTCTTTAGTTGCTTCTTGCAGGTTTATGTAGTCCAATATTTCAGATCTGTAATTCATGCCATGTTCATAAATCTTCAGTTTTGACATGTCCGGTTTTTCACTTGATTGAAAAAATGATTTTTAATAAGATACAAAAACACGACAGAGCATATTCTCTGGCATTCAGACATTAGTTTGATTTGACTCCTTGTTCACTTGTTCAAAGAGGAAAAGAACAAGAAAAAGGCCCTCTTTTGTTTCCATTTATTTTCCACCTCGCTTTCATTTTGGTAAGAAAAAGAAGTCAGGTAAACAGGTTCCATCCACTGTTTATTATTTTAATGTTGAAAGAGTCAAAAATCTTCAGCTAGTCGTTCCTTGAATATTTTAGTTTAATGATTGGCTTTTCAAAGCAATTTTCTCCCATTAGTATCAGTTGGTAGGTATAGGTGGTAACTTAATTTATTAGACAATAGACATTCAATGTGTGTTGTGCAGTAGAATATTGATTGTTGTGGAGGCCAAAAGATTCTGATACCATTGATGTGCTTTTCTTCAACCCTTTTCTTTTTCCTCAAGACATTGTGGTTTCAGAACTCTTTATTTACTTGAAACATGTAAATGTGATGGAAATAGCAGGTATGTGTGTATGACATGTAAAAGTTCAGTGGGTGAAATGTTGTGATTCCCTAGTGAAAGGATTGGTTGTGATGCAATATGAATGTAGAGCATGTTTATTGATTGTAGGTTTAGTTTGGTGAGCCATGGCATTTTTGTAAAATAAATGAACCATGGCATACATGTAGATAATAACATTATAAATATTTAGTTAGTTGAAAGCCTGCTGCAATGATCCTAATACAATGATTAAAAAAGGCGAGATAATGGGGGTGAAAGTCCCCAAACTATTTTGACACACCAACCCCTTAAAATTAAATCTAAAGAAAAATCTTGATGTAGATTTATTCTATTTATCTGCAAAGGGAACATGCTTGGAGCTAAGCAGCCAGGGGACCTACAGCTTTAAGTCCTAACCATAGGACTTTGTAATCGAGAACCAATGTCTTACCAGAGAGCACTAGCACATCAATTAGTTTTCAAACCTAGTATATCCCAGTTACGACACCTGAAATCATGGAAAGATTATAGGCATAATAGATTACCAAGCGACCTTAAGCTACGGTCACAAAGGTTTGTACGAATCTCACTGTTTTTCCATTGTCTTCCCAAATTTCCATTATACGGCATTCATAGCAGTTCTTAATGGCATTTGTGACCGAGGCTTTACTTACAAACATGTACAAATGTATATATTTTGATACTTGAGAAACATGAGACTATACCAAACATGTTTCTTTCCATTTTTTTTTGTTACTTTTGCTTTCGAAACTGTACATGTAATAACCAAATAATTGTTAATGCAGCAGGCCCTGTTAGTGTTATGTGAAATATTTCAAAGAATGAAAAGTGTCAGACAATTCTTTAGGTTCGTTATCATAGTTTATCAATACAGCGTTCAATGTCTAAAAGATGACAATACTACATACACAGTGCGATACATAATTCATACAAGAGACTTTAAAAAACAATTATTTGATGATCATTTTTTTTCTTCAAAGATACATAATAAAATATAAAAGCAGTTACATTTCCAGCAGCAGATACTTGTTGAAACCTTCTTTCCCCCCCCTTCTTCTTAGGTTTTGTGTGTGTTTTTTGCATTAGCAACATATTTTTTTATTTATATCACATTTCCATGTATGTAAATTCACCCTACACATAATTTTTCTTTCTCATTTTTTCCCTTATTTTGAGACGTTAAAACTACTTGCTTCAGTCTGAGATAAGGCTAGCATAGTACATTCGATGGGAACTTTAAACAAGAATACAAAAATAACTAATGATGCCTCTACTGCAAGGGGGGGGGGGGGGTAGAGGCAAATTACTTGGCAATAAATTTACATCATAATATTTTGTGCATTAAAAAAGACAAGTACAAAATAAAATAATGATGAAAATAAAAAAAGAAAGTAGTGCATATCCTATACCTTGTCAAACTTTTTCATCTGAACTCAGATTTTTTTTTGTTGAGCATCCATATTATTCCAATCACTTTATTTCGCCATTGATTCTACCACCCTTTTTGTTGTTGTCGAAACACCATGCCTCGTTAAAAACAGATCAGGTTACTAACACATATGTACACATCCTTCAAAAGTTTGTCCATAGATCGAACTAACATTTTCTTCATGAATTGAACATCAATTACAACAACAAGTTTGATACACTTCTATTCAGGTTTGCTTAATTCAATTTACCTACATGTATATAACAAATTTACAATGGCACACAGCGTACCTCAAGATACCACTTGCACCATTCAAAATCTTCTTTTTTTTTCATTAAAATAGTAAAAACATATGTGAAGTGTTTCTCATTGTCTTGATATCAAAAGTATTCTGTGGGCTTAAATTTATTTCCATTTCATAGATAACGCTTCAACAGGGTAGTGTCGATATATTGATTTTTTTCACCGGAACTCCACCTTTAATTCATTATCTGCAATGTATGTACTGTGAATCAAAGTGACTTTTAAAGTTATAGACCTTCATTTTTCAAATTTTGCTGACCCATTTTCCCCTCTGCATACTGGTTTTTCATCTGTTCTTTTTGTGTGTAGTAACTTTGTTTCTGTATTGAAACACATTGATGTACACATTGATGTACACACCCCATTTTTGTTTTCCTTTGGGGGGGGGGGGGTGCTTCTTATTTAAAAAAAATTGTTTTAATGATGCTTTTATTTGGAGTAATGGTTGAAAAAGATTCTGTTGGAAATTATATTTCTGCTTTCTTTTTCTCTCCTCTCTCAATTCTAAATGCATAAGACTTGGATGACTGTCTTGACCTTAGAAAACAATTATATATACCCCACATTAGCAAATTCCCTGGGGTTTATTTCAATCCATCAAGCTTCATTTTATTTTTTGTTGTGTGTAGAAAGTAGATTACCATTATTCATGCTCTTGAAGACATAGTTTTCAGATACACCATTATTACTGTTTTCAACAGGTTTGAGATTGACATTACTGTGGTAGTAATTCCATTAATTTTGCTAATAAACCTCTTTGCTATGTGAAAAAATGTAATCACCCTTAAAACTTTACAAATAAGTTGCAAGACTGTACAGTATCTCAAATATTAAAAACTATCCTCTCAATGTAGTCCAATATAAAATCCTTTCCGGACAATCAATACACCCATTGTAGGATTCCATAACACTAGGAACATCACGAGATACACATATGGTCAACAACAGTATATTCACTGATTATGGTAGATGCATCGCATAAAAATGCATTCCTATTTACAAATCATTCTTCAACGAATGCCCAAAGGATGTTTTCACTTGGCCTACATGGATAGGCATTATTCTACAATTTTTCTCCCACATTCAAACTGCTTTCTTGTGGTCTAATATCGGCTGTACGGGCGGCCGCCCCCGCCCCCATTTCTATCGGAGGGGGCGGAGCGACCCCCATAGGAGGAGGATTGGGGTGCGGATCTGAAGGGGTCCCCGTACCCGGGCTTTTCGGCACGATCGCCGCCACGCCCACTTGGGTACGGATCGCGGGAGGCATAGGCCGATCTTGAGCTGGACGTACTTCCTGTATAGTTTAGGAGAAACAACATGGGTGAGGTATAGGGGTTGGGGCATTTTTCAGTTTGGGGTGGTCTCCTGAAGACCACTGGAGCATGTGTCAATTTACCCGTTGCATCAGGAGGCCATACATTTTGAGTTGATGTTGCCGTGTACCCTGCATTTCTATTTGCTTTATTTCCGGTCTTGAGTCTTGCAAAGTTTGTGTAAGATATTTTCATATTTTGTGGACATACTGTTCAAGCAATGTCAAAGTCTTGTGTGAATTTGTATATATTATTCATCTCTTGTACTTTCCAAATGTTGCCCATAAATTGTTCATTGTACAAATCTTTGGAATTACATGTAGGTGTAATATTAACGAGAAATGTAAAAGCTTCTGAAAGACACAAGTCTGCATGTCCTTCAAATTCCCTTAGCTAAACATACGTGAGACATGCTACTTGTCATGATCGTACGACTGCGCAATGTTTCATGCTATTTTCCATCTTTATATACCAGATGGAATCCATTGTGCCTTCTTTTTTTCTTCTGTATTTCACAATATCTCTTTCATTTTCATCTTCTCCGTAATAAAATCTTCATTCCCTCTTTTCTTGATGATGAAATAGTGTGCCTTCCATTTTCACACATATATATCCCCCCCCCCCCTGATTTGGAGTTGTAGCTCTTTTACATCGTTTGTCTGTTCATGGTTCTTTGTATATTTTTGTTGGCGTTTGTTTGTTTTGTAGAGGGCCTCCTGATAAGGTGAAATATCGCACGCCGAAGTTAAAAACATTTCTTAGTCATTCAATAGTTTTCATTCATATTTTTGTCACATTACAATTTTTAGTTGACATCTTCACACACGGAATGAATGGCCTTGGTAATTCCCAACAAATTTTATGTTATGATTGCAATTTCATAAGCCAATCTGCATTGTTTACTTTTTCATTTGTGTTCCTATTCTCATTCTCTTGACAAGCTTGTATCATTACTACAGCTTTTAACATTTTGTAAAAAACATATCTGTTTTAAACAGGCAATGCCTGAACTGTAATCACCATATTGGACAGATAAAAACAATTTTTCTTACATCACTATAAGTTATTCAGTCCAATATTTAAGTCAAGTTATCAAGCCTTTTTTTTCCACATAAAAAGGGCTGTAATATAAATATACATCTATCACATTCAATATTTTGATATTTGCTTTCGTTATTTGATTTTTCATTTTCAGGATGGCACTAAAATAATAGAAACACTCCTAATCTTACATACATATGTACAAGTTGCATCATGGTTTAAAATTCATGAATTTCATTTTTTAATTCCCAGTAAGATATTCATTTATGTTTAAGGTTTGTTTGTAACGACGACATACGACGTAGAGGTAATATTCTGTTCGTTACTTTTTTTGTTTATTCAGCTCCCATCAATTGGATTTCACGTTTGCATCTCTCCAGTTTCAGTAGTTTTTCATACCCAAAGTGACATCCAGCCACTCAAACTGGCACAGAATTCCATTTCACTGGTTTTCAACAGTTTTCAGTCATGTTTAAACTCACATCTATTTCTTTTCCTGAACTTCTACTTGTGCGAAATTCTCTTTCGGAATCTTATCGTGAATATAATGTCGCACCATTGGTTCGTTTCAAAGCAGACACTACCTGACTTCCAAGCCTATCTCAATGCATTCAAGATGAAAGGGTTTTTAATTGCTTCTGCCCATGAAACATTTTCCTTTCCACAGTTTTCTTTTCATGTAGCATAATCTATTCCCACATGGTTTCTAAAGTGTGTGTACTTAGCTCCGTGTAGCACTAGTTTCACACAGCACTTTGTCATTATCATTGCTTTCCTGTGGTAACAGATTACATCTTAACCCTTGTGTTACCAGAAACCCTAACCGTCTTTCATTCCATGCATGGTTTATAAGACTACGGTAGGGAGGGGGTTAACGGAAACTTACCAGCAGGGTCCCTGGCAGCGCCAAAGCTGTCAGAAGCAGCTCCGTATCCACGGCTACTGGCTTTATCTGCGAGACAAAAAATGACAGATGAGTCCATGGTTATCTCACATAGGACAAGACTAATTAAACTGATTAAAAGACATGCAGTATTATACTTTTTTTTACTTATAACTCTTGTTAGATTCCTCAGCTTACATCTTATGTAAAACATCTAAGATTCTTAGAGAATTCATGAGTGGAACGAATCACCAGTAAAAATGATATAACGTCCATTCAGTCAACGAGGGCATTCCATATTTACCATAGTCTTCAAAGGTTCTTGAAGCAAAAGAAGAAGCCGCTGGCCTTTCATCAGCGTAACCTCCCCTGGCTCCGCCGACGCCGCCACCGCCGGCTCCTCCCCTGGCGTAATCCCTCACGGTCTCTTCACGCCTCGGTTCAGCATAATCCCTCTGGCTGCGGGCGGGAGGGGCGTAGTCCCTGGACGGGAGGGGGTCGCGCCCTCGTGGTGCTTCGCGTGACAGTGGGGCATCACGGGGAAGGGCGGGCTCTCGGGCTCCATATCCACGAGATGCAGCGGCAGATGGTGCAGCACCGTAAGGGTCGGCGCTTCGTGCTGGGGGCGCATAGTCTCGTTCCATGAAGCTGTATTGGAAAGGGAGGACAGTCATTCAAAAATTAAATAAATCACTCAAGAATAGTTTGGGCTTGAGGATTATATCTCAGAAGACAAATCAGAAGAGAGCCATTGTTCACCCGAAGAAGTGTGAGAACTCGGCCATTTGCCTCATATTTTTTTTTCAACTTGAACTACATGCACAATTATACCAAAGACCACTAGGAATACAATTAACATGGCATTTTTTAAAGACCTGTAGGAAGTGAAAGATGAAATAGATGAATTATATATCAAGGAAAATCTTACGAGCCATAGATTAATATTATAAGCCGTCAAAGCATCTGTGGCAAATTTGACACCTGTTGACCCAAAATTTGGAGGGGTGCGAAATGAGGTTTCTGAAATAGGGTCTGAATGCTCAGTTGCCTTACTACGTCAAATGTGCCTACCAAAGCTTTCACAATTTGTTCCTGAATTGCTTGTTTTTCCAGCAAGGTCAAATTAACCAATGTCTTTAATACTGAATCTTAGAACACAACAATTTATATTTCATTGAGAAAGTGTATCAGCAAAAATCTGAATCGAATAAACCTTCGTATCAAATATTATGTTTTCAGTAGCTCATAACAATTATTGTTAACTTATCAATAACAAGTTTTATGATGTCTCACCTGTCCCTGGTCTGGCGAGCTGGTGCTGGGTCACTGTTAGCAGCGCCGTACGGGTCCCTAGACCTGAAGAGAGGATCAGCAGAGGCCGCAGCCCCATACTCTGCCCTGGTTGGTCTGGACTCAGCCTGGTAGTCGTAGGAGCTGGCTCCTCCCCCGCGGCTCTGGCCAAACTCCTCCCGGCCACCACCACCACCACGTCCGGCGGCGCCACCTCGGGCTCCTCCTCCACCTGATGGTAAAAGCACAGCATGGGTGATTAAAGGTGCCTTTCCTGGCACTTCATGAGTACTTTATGTCAAAAATACTACTACTACTTCTAGCAACAAAACCTGTCTATAGCGACCACCCAAGGGAAACACAAAAAGTGGTCTTTGTAAACAGGTCTCGTTAGTACATGTTTAAATGATTCTGGTAAAAATGCCTGTTTTTCTATGCTTAAAGATAAAGTGTGTTCTGGTCATGCGATTGCATTGTGAAAGAAACTGTGTGGGATAGATCAGAAAAAGTTGATCATGTAGCATGTAAGTATTGGTGTGGACTGCAAGGTTCTGGAATCATCAAAATAATAAGAAATTTGGCCCAGTCTTGCACTGTACACAGAAATATGAATATGGGACTACAAGAACATGTGGCATAAAAATCCGTCCCAATTTTTTATACTGTTACATGCCATATTTAGAATATTAAGGCATTAGAAGAGCCATGCTTTTCAGGGAACATGTCTTATCTGATGCTCTTCAACACTTGCATAATAATAATAACGCTCACAAATTGTTTTTCCCCTCTTTCCAGAACTCAACCTACTCTTTAACCACTTACCGTAGCTCTCCTCTCCATACTGAGTTGAAGCAGCAGCACCACCACCTCGGCCGCCGCCGTAGCTTGCTTCACGCTCTGGTGGGAAGGATGAGCGAGGGCGCTCAGCTAAATTCAAGACAGAACCATAGGAGAAGATAAATATATGTGTAAATATATTAGTAAGATTCCCAATATTAGCATGCATGAATTATAATGAAACAAAAAGTTCTTTATTTTTTAATCCATGATTTTCGTTTTTAAAAAAATCAATGTACATGTAGATTATTCTTCAAATAGAAATTGACACATTTCCCAAAACTCTTTGTTAAAATATATAGCGAGTACAAACAATTTTGCCTTTTGTACTTGGCATACTTTTTAGGTCGCGGAATCAGAAATTATCGAGCCAAACAAAAAAATTAGGAAAATAGATTGTCACAAAAGATTGAGACCACTTTTTGTGTGTCACACTTATACAGAGTTGATTATACTCTCAGTATTAACAAAGAAGAGTGAGTGAGATCATGTACCTGTAAGACGTTCCATTGGAGGTGGAGCTCGAGCCTCTCTGTCACGCATGAGTGGTTCTGAAGAAAAAAAATCCATAACACCATCAATTAGAGATGAATTACTAAACATTGATTTCATCCATCAAGAAGGGTTATCCACACAAACACCACAAGTACAAGCTACATACACACACATGGGCAGTAACTCTTTTATTTTTTTTCCAAACAATTGAAAGTTTGTAATCCTGCCTTAGAAATTACATTTTGAAATAAAATAACTGCAAATTTGGCTTCTGGTGGTAGTTTTTTTTTCAAACGATGAAGCAGAGACCTTATCAGAATGTACTATGTAATTCCAGACACATGAATGATTACTAAAGCTATATGAAGCGTAGGGAAATACTTTTAAGCACACATAACTGCATGGTTAGGGGCTTAATTACATGAAGAACAACATTGAAGGATGAGTCACTTGTCTTTGGAAATAACGAGGCTCAAAACAGTATGCTCATTTGTTTGGATTTTTGAAATGCCACCTATTGTATCTTTCTTACCCCCTTGTCCCTTCATTGCTTTTCCCCTTTTTAATCCCATGTCCTACTTTTTGTATCCTTCTCACCCCTAGCCCCCCCCCCCCCACTCATTTGCTTTTCTCCCTTTTAATCCCTAATCCCAATTATTTAAACCTTTTACCCCTACTTCCTTATTATTGTTACATATGACAAAAAGGTTTCTTTAGGTGTAAGATATCCATTGCTTGCTACATGACTCATAACTATATCCTGTTCAACAAGTCCCTAATTTATATTTAATACCTCATACATAGATTGTCATTCACTGATTGGTCAAGACTATATCACATGTCAAGGAGCATTTCGATCTATCAAGTATCATTACGTCAGAGGGGTTGATAGCTACTATCAAACCCTGGGATAGGACCCCTAACCCCTCCCGCGACTTAGTTGCGCACACAAATTTTTTGAGTTGCTAGGCTACCGCAAGTCGCGCGGTTACGCGCAGCGCGTGGGAATTCAATACTCTTGCCTTGGACTTGATGTTGGATTTTTCTTATTTGGGTTAGTAAATCCTCTTGATCTCGTTTCCTGTTTTAGAGCTAGATCTAGACCTACAGCTAGACCTTATCATGAATCAATAAAAAGGATGAGGTATATAAAACAAATATGGACTGCTCTGTAATCGGATGATGGTGGGAACTACCACTCCCTCGGTGGTGTTCACACCGGCCCTTCTATCACCCCCTCGGCTTCGCCTCGGAGGTGATAGAAGGGCCGGTGTAAACACCACCTTGGGAGTGATATTTCCCACCATCATCCTCATGAGCAGTCAATATTTGTATAATGGCTTATTTTTGTAATCTAACCAAATTTACACTTAGTGCCTCATTACGAATCATTTCAATTCCTGTTACAAATAATCGTATTTTCGATAGTCAGAATGCAATTTGCATATGTATTAGGTGTTGTTGGGTACATGTTAGTGCTGTAGTCAAAAGTTCAACCGTCCGGTATCCGACCGCCCATGGCGGATTCCGTTTTCAATTGGACAATTTCGTTCTCCCGTTTTTAAAAAAAAAAAAAATTTATAATTTTTTTTTTTTTTAGTTTTGATTTATATATGCCCCTCCACCTGGTACTATGCCTGGCAATGTCTACCAGCTCAGTAATCTGTGCGTTGACTCACCACTCCGAAACTAGAACAACACTCCAATTTGTCTGTCATCTTGTTTTGAAAGTAATCTTTGTAATAGATCTCAATATGTAGTTTATAATAATAATTCATCCAACTTTTACACACTACCACAAGGTTCTATCCTAGGTCCTCTAATGTTTTTAATTTACATTAATGATCTTACACATTCTTCTAAATGTTCTTTTAAATGAATATCCTTCCCGCGTGTTTTTTTTTTCACAGTCGGTCAAAAACCGAAAACCGTCCGGTTTTGACTGGCGGTTAAACGGAATTGGAGATATCCGTGATGTTACAGCAGTAGTACATGTAGGGTATTAGCCATAATGTTTATGCATACATTTGATAACATTAAGATAATGGCCTATTGAATACCTCGAAGAAAAAAACGAGGTACATGTATTTTATGTAAATGCACACACATACAACACTTACATGTACAATGGTTTTTACATTTTTGTGAAAGTCATGCATTACTACAATTCTACTACATATAAATGTGGAGATTTTCTTTAAAACAACGCATCACAATAAGGTTTAGGACGGAACACTAATTAGAGTTTGGCACAAAAACAATGCTAAGCATTAAAACATTGAGTGAAACACAACACAGCAACAGGATAAGGGATATCATGTATTTCTTATCAAACTTCATTTCATAAAACACACAAAAGTTAACCATCATGAATTGAAGACAAGAAGAAGAAACACACAATCACATTAACCAAGATATGGGAGAATGGTAAGAAATGGAAAAAAATTGACACACGCAGATTTATTGTCCAGTTCTCTTGCAGTGTCTATGGTAAAATGATATGAATTAGAATGACATAAGAAATGGTTGCTAATTCTTTACCCTGCTCTCGTCTGACGGGTGCACTGTCCCACTGCGCTTGGCGAGTCGGAAGCAAACCACCATCGGAATACCCACCACCTAACAAAACAGAAAACAAAAATGGAAAAAGGATGAGTGATTTTTAGTTCTACTTTTAGGAGGTGTTTTCTTTCATCACCTCAACCTAAGAAAGAAAAAAGGAGAAGGGAAGTTATGTTCGTGCAGCTGGAAGGGGATTGTGTTCGACTGATGAATATGTTTTCATTTTGTTCCAGCTGAAACAAAAGATACATCAAATCAAGGCGACCGGTAATGTGTCTGCCTGGACGCTTGTAATGACTTTTTGAATGTCTCCGCGCGGTTGATCGCTTGTGTGCATCTCCGTAGTGTAAACCACAGCAAAACATTTTTGTGTTCATGTGAATAAAGATTTTTTTTTTTTTTTAATGTACAGGTACTTGAAAGGGCATGTGAATATATGAATATTCATTATTAAAAGAGAGATTTTACAATGCACACTGACTATAGAATGTGGGTTAGATTGCTGGGGTTGTGTTAATGTGGTTAGTGTGCTCACTATTGGGTTGCACATTACACCACTGCATGTAGTTAAGACAAATGAGAAAAAAAAATCATGAAGTCGGTGTACATTGAGAACATTAAACAGCACAGGAAAAGGAAAGCGTGATGACGGCATCACTGCAAAGGGATTTACCATTCCGGCCATTGTTGGACCACTGCTGCCGATGATCGGGATTCATGCCAGGCCTACGCTGTTGCGAATCTTTGGGGGTAAAAAATCAAGCACAGACGGATAGATGAGAGAGGGTGATGAGTTCAGAGTCAGCAGTCTTCCTATTGAATGAATATTAGTTTACTGAACTTTCCCCCGTTGAATTTAGATGAATTGAGAAGGCGCTATGGCTCAGTGGTAGAGCAGGAGGTCCTGTGTTCAAAACTAAGTCAATGCGCTCGTACCCTTTGATGAGGCATCATTCCTCATTACCAAGTCCCTCTGAGAGGACTTAAAGCTGTAGGTCCCCTGGCTGCTTACTTACAAGCATATATACATGTACATGCCTTCTTAATAGCAGTCAGGTAAAACAATCATCATCGTATATCATCATGAATGTGTTACAAGATATCACGGAGTGAGTAGGAGTCATGCATTCCTCTCTCCCTCATCTCACATATATATATATATATATATATATTCAGTATAGACTGCTGAGAGCCAGAAGGGTGTCGACACGTATCACTTTCCACAGAGTTGACACCAACGCCTTTCTGGTTCTCCTCAGATGCTGCACTGTGCGGGACAGTCATTCAACATCAACACTTTACCGAAGTTTACTCTGGCTCATTGTCACAGCATAGCACATCCATGCAAGGATGATGTGTCATGCTGCATCTTCAATTTTAACTTCATTCAATTAACAAAGCACAACAATGAACATACAAATCGACTACAATACTTATATCTGAAAACATGCAAAGATACATCTTCTAAGTTTTTCTGAAGAAAAAAACCAGAACATGACTTTTGAATATAGCTTTTGAATTCACTTATGCTTTTGGTAACAAAAAAAAAAGAGTCTCAAAGTATACTTTGGAGATACTAAATTGTACTTTACAGTGTTCTTTCCTGAATTCTTGTAATAACAAGATTAATTCAATTTCTTTCACAAATTTCACTCTCTACAAGACATGCAATCAACCCAAAACAACAAAATTATAAAAAATTGAACAGTCAACTACTTGTAAATAACACAAACTTAGAATTTCACTCTTACAAATATCACTAATTTCACTCTCTAAATAACATAAACCCCTCCACAAAATAAATAAATAAAACGGTGAAAAGTAACAAACTTGTAAGTCGCACAAACTTACTTCGATATCCTTCTTGAGGTCTCTCCATCGGATGTCCGAGGGGCTCCCTCGCTTGTCTGAATTCTGGTGCTCCTGGGTCCTGTAACAGGGGCTCTAAAAATAAATAGAATAGTTAAATTGTATAAAATTAGAATTTTTGTTGTTTTAATTAGACATGTCCTGACAAACTTGTGGAAACAAAAGGCCTCCATCAACTTATCTACAATGGGGAAAGTTTCCAGTGAGAACAACTGATACAATTTACGTTGGACAGGATCGAACAACAAAATATGAGGCTCTTTGAAAATCATCTGATGTCATCAATACGTTTTGGCTTGGATTTCTCATTTGATTTACACAGACAAAAGAATTATTCAAATGCTACACTACGAGTTATAAAAGAGTGACTAAGGAATCAAACTAGAGCTATTTATTAAAGCCCATCTGTACTAGTTTACAGGAGGGATTAGACCACCCTGCAAGGTCACTGATAGGAGGTTATCTCATCAAATCAGCTCTCAATTATCATAAGAAAAAGGTAATCATGGGGGACCAATGGGCACCGATTAGGCATTGTTTGCTATATAGAGGGCGCAAGTAGGTATAGGTAGTATAGTGGGGCTTTAAGAGCTTGCGAAGCAAATCAGAAACTACAAAGGCACTAGAAACTATGGTACGTCTCCTCTAGTCTCCACCGACATGCGACATGCGTGGAGGACCAGTGGAGCTTGAGGGATTACCTTTACCAAGTAGAGGTCTGCTTCCTCTAGGTGCGTTGTAGCCTGCATCCTGGTCCATCTCCTCCATTGGGGGTCTATCGATCAGTGGCCTAGGAGAAGGGGAAAATAATAATGTCAGGGGGGCTTTTCACAAAACTTGTCATCAGTGACAACTGACAGTTTTTGTTATAAGCTACTGAAATACATGCTTCTGATTGGTTATCAGCAGATTTGTCACTGATTTTTGTCATTTGTCATTGAAAGAATGCTTTGTGAAACGGGTCTCGGATCAAACAACATTTCAGACATATTTTTGAACTGAAATAACAAGCAGGCAAGCATACATGTATGTGATTGTGAGTATATTCAGATTTAAACAACCAAATTCAGTAATTAGGTAATAAACGACCAAAAGACTAGATGAATGTCATGCCTAATAGCAGTTAATCTAAGGTCAGTAAGGTGGAGTACTAAGCACATTTCTTTTTTGAGGGGGGGGGGATACCACTTGCACTGTGCAAGGGCACTAGAGTTGTTGGCTTTGGACTTGGGATTAATCTTGATCCTAAACTGCTATTCTGAATGACATTTATAGCACTTCCTTTTTCCCCATGTGATGAATATCATTCAAAGTATGTTACAGACAACAGAGGTTAAGAACAGTCATGTTAAGTGTAAAGTGAGTAGTGTTCTCCTAGTTCTTGGTCTAGATGATGGGTGCAAGGGAGCGCTTCCACCCAGCATCTAGACCAAGAACTAGATATTTTATTCCTCAGCACTACATCCTGACTTATGGATCCTGCTGAGTATTGTCGTAGAAGTAGAAGTATATTGCCTATGTTCTATACAGTCTGAGTATCATGTATTGTACTTTGAAACATAAATTATATAACACTGATGGACATTATGTATGTTTAAAAATATGTATGTTTGAAATATGATATAGAAATCAAATCAAACAGTGAAGTTTCTCTCACCTTCCTGGTCCTCCACGTCCCCTAGGAGCTCCTCTGGGTGCACCCCTAGGCGATCCTCTCATTGCGCCCCTTGGTCCTCCCCTTGGTGGTCCACCCCTCGGTGGTCCATCATATCGGCCACGCCCCATTCCTCTGGAAGGTGGTCCTCCATCAAAACCGGAGTCACGGTCTCCGCCGTACCCTCCCCTTGAGTAAGGGCCACCACGCCCCCTTGGCATGAAACCGCCCCTTGGGCCTCCTCTTGGGGGGAATCCCCCCATTGGACCTCCACGCATAAGGGGTCCGCCTCTTCCTCTATAAATGGAAAGAATAAATGAAAGGAATGTAATTAGCAATATGCAAGAACCAACTATGCGCACTTTATGAAGTCAGCCCTTTCTGCAGATGGGTCCTGAAAGATAAACATGGTCTATCAAGAGTTGAACAAATTATTGCTTAGGTCATGCCCTTCATCGTTATTATTTTACTAAATAGCCCATATAATTGGCCAGAATAATAATCTTCCATCTACGGCTAATAAACTGACACAATGACAGTAAATCATCTGAGACATTAGGGTACTTGTTCTTCTTACCTCTGGAAGCCTCCTCGGCCACCCCTGAAGCCCCCTCGGCCGCCCCTATCGCCCATGCCACCTCCTCCGCCAGAGTGTAGAGATTTGAGCGCAGCATCTACCTTCAGCTGGACACCTTCAACATCCTGGACAAAAACAAAACAAAATAATAATTTGGTAGTATATACCCAGGGTAACCACACCTGGGGGTGTTTCACAAAGACTAAGATCAACTTTAAGTTGGACTTAACTATGACAGGCCGTTCATGCCACTGTTTGCTATTACCATTTACTGGCATTGGTCTTTCAAGGGATGTACAAATCATGGTCACAAATCTACTTTTTTTGATGATTCATTATTGAAGGCAAAAATATTTATCTAAAGATCATAATGGTGAGAGAAAACAGTGGCATGAATGGCCTGCCATAGTTCAATCCAACTTAAAGTCGATCTTAGTCTTGTGAAACACACCCATGCTCTTCCTGCAATTCTCATTACCCTACCAACTACCAGGTACCCATGTATGCCTTGGTGGAGAGAACAAATGTGGAGTAGTGCCTTGCCCTCAATCCTTTGATTCAGAGTCAAATGAATGAATAACCTTACAACGATCATGACACCACCACAATCAAAAATAAAATACAGTACCAGTAATCAAAATGAAAGAGAATAAAAATTGTTAAAAATGGATAAAAATGTATATAATGATGGATACTTGGAAGTTTTGTACTTCAAAATACTCAGAAACTAATATATATCACAAAAGTTCAACTATGAAATTTTCTTCACAATTCCTCGAAAAAGGTCTGAACTAAAATTGCACAATGAATTAAAGCTTGTGAATAATCCCACACCAAATGGGAACTGTAATTGATAGCAAGCCACTTAACCCATTGCCTACTGGAACCGGGTGGTCTCTGTGTAAAGCCAATGGGAATGCAAGAATTCAGTATTCAACAGGTTAATTTCGTCATTGAAAATTGATAAAATTTAAATAGCCATCAAGTCATGAGTTCTGTTGTAAAGATTAACATTTGAAATATTCCACTTTAAAGGCCGTCTGTACAAGTAAGGCCATGAGGATTAGACCGCCCTGCAAGGTAACTGACAGGTGGTTATCTCATTAAATCAGCTCTCAATTAACATAAGAAAAAATGGGATCATGGGGGACCAACAGGTACCGATTAGGCATTGTTTGCTATATGGAGGGCGCAAGTAGCTATAAGTATGCCTTGTTTCATCTTGACCCTTCGACCCTTGACCTTACCTTGCCATTCATGCCCTGGATAGCATCGTTGGCATCCTCTGCTGTGTCAAATGTGATGAAGCCAAACCCTCGTGAATCTCCAGACTCTTTGTTCTTCATCAGATTAACTGAGGGGAAGAAGGAATAAAAATTTGACGAGAAACAAAGGAACAGATAAATAATATTTGTTGTTCTTCTAATAAATGCAATAATCTATATATGTATTTAGTCACAAAGAATTGCAAGTTTTGTACTTTGTTTCAAATGTCTCATGTGCAACTTGTTTCATGTTTACACCTTTTTACTGAGGGGAAAAGGGGAATTTGTTCACTTCGCATTCATGCAATTAATCTAGTTTGGGTCTCAAAGAATTGCAGGTTTCATAAATTCATACTACCATAAGCTTTTAAAATTCTCATGTATAACATGCCTCCCCTGTACAGATCAAATGAACATCATAAACCCACAAACTTTGTTTCATACTTCAATAAGGATTGTAATGCTGAACTGGCCAACAAATTATAAAGTATAATTGCATGACAGCTGAAATTTTTTGGCTCCTTTGGCAGGCACATAATACACACTAAACAAAATTAATTAAAATATAAATAAATCAATTAAATAGAATAATAATTTTTAAAAAATAAAAAATAAAAACAGTTCAAACTCTGCCCAAAACCAAGCAAAATAAAGATGAAAACCCAGAAAAAGCTCTTGTAGACAAAGAAAAAAGAAAGAAAAAATAAGATAGTGTAAAGATTGTAAAAAAAATGTCTGAATCCTTCCTTACCTTGACTAATTTTGCCGAAGGTTTCAAACAACTTCTCCATTCTGCCCTCATCCCATGTCTTGGGAAGGTTGCTAACAAAGATCTTGTTTGGCGAGTCCTTGACTGCAGCAGGCATCTTGGATGGATGTGTCATTCAACTTATCTATTGTAGATGATGAAGAAATCAAGAAATCAAGAACAAGAAGAATGAGAAAATGAAAACTCAAATTACTCAATTTGATCTACACTGGTAGTCAGCTTAAAAAAAAAAGAATATTGTTAAGAATGTTACAATAGTGTTAATACTGTAATACTATATTAACTATTGAATGCACATACATGTAGGCTGCATTTATACAGTCAGGAGGGGCGCTCGTCCGAGAATGAGGATCTCCTGCATAAACGAGGGCAGAAAATTGCGTCCTAAAAATAGGGATCGTCCACATTTTCGCTGACACTTTTTTCTTTGGCGCTCTGCGGGTTTTGGGGTCCAGATTCACGTGCTGGCAATGCAAAAAAAGGATTCGGCGTACTAAAATACCCCTAATTCACTGTCTACTTTTATGGGTTGTTTGCTTCCCGAAGATTTATCGCACATAACTTGAAAATCTCTGTACAGAGTCAATGTGAACAGTAGGGGCGCTGGTCCGAGAATGAGGATCGTCCTAATAAACAAGGATATCCTCATAAACGAGGACAAAATGTGTCCTCAAAAATAAGGGTCGTCTGCATTTTCGAGGACGTTTTTTTTCATCGGCGCTCTGGGGGTTTCATGTTACAGAACTGCCCGCTGGCGATGCCAAAAATGGATTCCCCGGGGAAAATAACCCTAGTTGTCCGTCTACTTTTATGGGTTGTCCGTCTTCCCAAGGATTTATTGCTCATAATGTGAAGGTCTCTGTACAAAGTCAATGTAAATTGCATCAAGAAAATCATTGCAGAATCCGTTTTTTTGCATCGCCAATGCGTCGATCAAAAATATGAAACGTCTGCAAAAATGCAGACGGTCCTTATTTTTGAGGACGCATCGGTCAGTGTTACAGAAGACGATCCTCGTTTATGAAGACGATCCTTATTCTCGGACCAGCGCCCCTACTGGTGAAATGCATCAAGAAAATTATTGCGGAATCCCTTTTTTTCGCATCGCCGACCAGTGGACCTGAAACAAGAATCCTTTACAAAGACAATCCTCGTTTATGCGGACGATTCTTATTCATGGACCAGCACCCTCTACTGATATTCAAAAACATAATTCTCACTTCTCAATCAATCACCTCACACATCATGCACATTCTTTCACAATCAAGTTCCAGTCGGATGTCAGATGCAAAGTAAATTACCAACAATATCAACCACCACCACCATCATTTCCCACTATTGATACTGACACCTTATTCATATTTGAAACAGACCTTTAGTTATTTACTTAGTCACCCTGGCCTTGGCTTTATCAAGTAACCGTCGGCACTTCAACTCAACTTGGTCTCGAACTCGCCTCTTTTAAAAATGCTGTAGAGGTCTACGCAACAAGGTACCCACATATTCATTTCCATGCACTCGCTGAGCTCTGACCCTGACAAATCAAATTCGACATGAAATATAAACGAGTAAAATTCAACTTTAGTATCACTTATTCACCAAAACCAAATTCACATCTCCTTAAATACATGTAGCTTAATCGTTATCAAAATGGTTTATGAATATATTTTATCATACTTACGAGTAAAAAAACGGTTTAAATGTCGAGCTTTCACGTGTGCAATGCTTCTCAATCTGATAACGCGATGAAATCTGTGTGTGAAAGAGCTAGCTGTACGTAGCACATGCAGCATGCACGCGAAATAATGAATTGACAAAGCATGCATGCTCGCTTTTTTTTCGACACGATACACACACAAAGCATTATATGTGCGCATGCGCAGTGTGAAGAATTAGTACAGTAGTAGTAGAAGAAGAAGAAGAAGAAGAAAGAAGAAGAAGAAGAAGAAGAAGAAGAAGAAGAAGAAGAAGAAGAAGAAGAAGAAGAAGAAGAAGAAGAAGAAGAAGAAGAAGAAGAAGAAGAAGAAGAAGAAGAAGAAGAAGAAGAAGAAGAAGAAGAAGAAGAAGAAGAAGAAGAAGAAGAAGAAGAAAAACTTAAGAAGATGAAGAAGAATGAGGAGATCGAAGAAGAACTTAAGAAGATGAAGAAGAAGAATGAGGAGAAGAAGGAGAAGAAGAAGATATTGAAGAAAAAGACAAAGAAGAAGAAGACAAAGACAACTTTTGTCTTTTGTTTTCGTAAGCTCAATGTATTATTTACTTGTAAACCATCTATAAATTCGAATATTGTCTTCTCGCTTCAAATGTCGCCATCACAAAATATATTCAAGCATTTATGAAATTATCCATGCTAAAATTTGATTTGATTTGATTTCATTCCATTTTCTTCAGTGCATTCATATAAGTACAGTTTTTTTTTGTAATATAAAATGCAAAAGGCATTTTGCTGACAGTGAATACAAATAACAATTTTTTATTTTCTAAAAACGAAGTGATAAAGTGTCATAAATAGTAAATTCCATCAAACATTTGCGAAAGGACTGTCATATTGTAAACTGAGATTGCTTGAAAATATGACAGCCCCAGACAAAACTTATTTTAAAGTTTAAAGACCCAGACAATTACTTTTAAAAAGGGCTCTTTAAAAACAGGTGGTTTAATCATGATTATAGTAATGTTTCAAGGAGAGAGTGGTATTGATAGACAGATGATTGCTATCTTTTAGCAGGTTTCACTACATCAAACGGGTGCCAAATCTAACAGATAAATTATTACTGCATGTGAATTTTCCTTGGGTACCTGCATTGTATATGTAAATAATATATACTGTTCATTCAGTACACGACCATAGAGATATATAATAAAACTTTATATCTCTATGATGACCATACTGAGTAGCCTAGGCCTATATCTCTTTGTCCATGACTCTTTTGAGATAATTAATTACAAGTCGAGCGCCATCTATCGACCAGAACATTTTACGTGCAGGTGAACAAAGCTCCGTTCTCATTGACCAATCAACACATTTCCTATCGGATCCTTAAACATGATTTCGTTTATAACGTTGATAAAAGGATGTTCTCATCAATATAGCATTGGACAAGCACTAAGCAGGCATTATGGAGAAGGAAAAAAAAATGATATCAAAGTTGCGTTGTCCATATTTTGTGTTGAAGGTTGAAAGGTTTGTTTTATTTCTTAAACGGCCCACCTGCATGGGGCAGGGAATAAATGCAGATTGTTTTTATTATTATTATTATTATTATTATTATTATTATCACATTCGACAAAAACGAAGAAAGTCATTGAATATAAATCAAGAGTACATTTGGAAAAGAGTCACAAAGAAAAAGATTAATGGTACAAAGATATTTTACAACAAAGACAGTATACCAGGGACAGTGTACGAAAAGAATATCCCCGGAGAATAGTTACAAAATATAAAAGAATACAGGGAATATTTCTTGATAGGACCACGGGTTTGCTGCGTGCTAGGTCGATTTGTACACCCATTGATCCATGGTAATTCATGGTAATTTGATATTTCCACCAAGTCTAGTGTCATCGAGTTATTAGACCTACTCAGTGGCGGATCCAGGGGGGGGGGGGGGGGCCCCGGGGGGCCCGGGCCCCCCCCCCCCTTGAGAAAAAAATCATGTAAAATCACGTGATTTTTACGATTTTTTGGGGTTGGGCCCCCTCCCCCCTGGCGCTCAAGGTTTTTTCGAGGATCAAAAAAAAAAAAAAAGTGCTCACTACCCCCCCCCCCCCCCCCCCCCCCCCCCACTGAGCGATTTTTTGGCCGGCGCGTTTTTCAAATTCTCGGGAGCAAAAAAAAAAAAAATTGTGCTCTGTACCCCCCCCCCCCCCCCCCCCCCCCCCCCCCCCCCCCCCCCCTTACTGAGCGACTTTTCGGCCGGCGCGATTTTCAAATTTTCGGGAGCAAAAAAAAAAAAGTTGGGCCCCCTCCCCTAAGAAATCCTGGATCCGCGCCTGGACCTACTGCACAGAAACTGACTACCATCTCTCTTTAATTATTTTTGTTCCACTATCCCATTGCATACATGCACCCGTTAGGTCAAGTCCCCCTATTCCGCAAGTGGACTTGGCATCCCTCATTAGGCCCCGGTGATTAAAATCTTAATTAGCAATTCAATTAATGAATAATGTGTCACTGGAGCTGGATCGCCGCTAATGCAGGAGGTAAGCCTCATAACCCACCGCCATGATGAATATTACGAATACACTAATCCCCTAGCGCAAAAAGCTGGTTAAACGAAAGAGGTTTATAATTATGGTGCGCACTGCTGGCGAGATCGACTCCCGAATATCGCGATACTGCTACAGATTGCCGTCTGCTTTCTCCTGCGTAACCAGCCAAGCGTTGAACGCTCGAGAGAGAAAGAGAACACCTCCGCTTTTTGTAGCTAGGAGACGTGTTCGGAAGGCACGCATCTGAAGGCAGAGAAGCTGGAGAGTAGATGAGAGGGGTTGATGGACTGACAGTCATGTGGTTACTCCGAAAACCGTGACTCGACGAAAATCATTTCGCGCTACATTCTAAACTTTGTAATTTTGAACTAAATTTGGTTTTGACTCAAACGCTTACCTCTAAATAAAGTCATTTAGAGGTACATGGGAATTATCGCCTCTTAACAACATCGTTTTAGGTCTCTGGATCATCGAGATTCATTAGGAACTTGTGAGCAAAACGTTTTGACATTGTCGAATAAGCCTGTTGCGTCCTTGACGAGACTGTGAAGCTTTTATGCAACAATTTTTGTTTGAATGTTTGCCTCTGTCATCTCTGTGGTGACGGCAAATTAAAGCATAATTATGCCTATCATCAGCTGATTATTGAAGCTGCATACGGAACACCCTTCATTTCTACCAGAAAGACTTCAAAGCCAGCCGACTAATCAATTTAAATCGCGAAAATCTCCATGGCAACACTTTCTACGGATCCCAGTAAAAAGTGCTATGGATATTTTGTTTGAATACAAATAAAGTGAAGTTGGACCGAGGAAAGTACCATCGACCTCCGATTGATGCGACTGTGCGGACAGGAAAAAGCAAAAGCTCTTCCGTTAATTTAGAAGCGTTGCGCGACTGATGGAGATCGACTGATGCCTGAACAAAAATTGAAGGAAATTGACACAACCAATCCTGAGTCATCAGGGCGATATAGATGCTCTGGTCAGCGTACTAGATGATATTTTCTTGCTGGAACCTTACAATTTTTAACACCATGCAAGAACTGTTTAAACTGTAACATTGAGCAATGGATGTATTCATTGAATTGTAATGAAATACAGTGAGCCAAAAGCAGAATCTTGGCTAATTTCTAAAGAGATTAATATATTCTGATGGAACATTACATGCTGAATATAAGTGAGGATAAACGTGCTGACCGAATGCGCACGAGTGGTCGATATCGTGTAAGGCTTTGAATCACTGCGCTATTTCGCCTGACAACAGCATAAAATCGATTTTATAAATCTTTTGCTGAGAGCGAGCAAAATCGATACCTCTCTCATAAACCTGTCAATTTTTGTTTTCTTATTCTGGCGCCGGAAACCGATGGACATCAAAATGGGTGATTTTGTGACTACTCTCGTAATGGTTGTTTTTCTTTTTGCTGGTGGAACCGTCATTTCTGCTGAGGGACAGAATGCAACCGATAATTACCTCCAAGAGTTATTGGATGGCACTCAAGTACTACCAACGGTGGGGCCTAAAAATGATGTAAGTGCAAATTTCACGTCACATTTTATGGTCATCTCATTTTTCCCTTTCATCGTAGTTTCTTTCTCTTTAATACTCCATTCATCTGCACCTGATTTTAATTTGAGAAGTTATGAAAATATGTAGTGAGTGTTCCTTTTAAAATGCTTACCCCCATTTTAAATGAATTTTATGGAAAATGCTTCTGATTTGAAAAAAAGGAAACGCATTATTTCGAGTATTACCATAACAACACAGTCATGTACTATCATGAATCATGTAAACTATCAACTTTTTTGGTATGATACAGTCTCCTATGGATGTAGATACAGTGTAATGTTGCTTTTCGTAACGAGATCGTAAAAGAGGGGATCGTATGTTTACATTTTTCTGTGAAATACTCGTTTAGTCATTCTTCAAGATCTGTTGATATTATTATTTTTTTTTTAATGAAGAGGGGGGACGTTTTAACTTCCTGACGAAAACAATATCGGTGACAATTTTATTGATACTACATGTATTATTGTCGCGCAATGACGATACGATGCAGAGAGCATATTTAACATATTTAACATAGGGCCCATCAAAGAAGGCGACCGGGACTCAATCATCCTCAATTTTTCTTTTTCAAAAGCCCATCATGTTGTGGATGCAGTGGGGCATTTTGATCACTTTGCCTCACTATTGTGCCTTTTAAATTGTATGCCTATACTAAACATTAAAAATAAACATCTTTAGGGACGTAACTTAAAAATGTGTTGAACAGAAGTGGGAGGATGATAATGTTACACGTGTACCTAAGCCATTTTTCTAACGAGAAAAGGAAGGGAGAAAAGAAGAAGGGGCAGCTAGAGATAGAAAAATATTACGATTTTCAAGATTTTGCCCATAAGGCTCGAAAGTTCAAAATGTTCCAATAATACATAAACAAGATTAATGTATAAATGAATAAAGAAATAAATAAACAAGTAAATGAATAAGGCGTCATAGCCCTCACCCCACTATAATTATAGCAACGCCGGCGTGTGCTCTTTCGACGAGATGTAATTTATGTTTTTATATCAATTAGTACTGATTATTTAAAATG